ATCGATAAAAGCCAACCGGTTTTTGTTTCGTAAACGTTAATAAGACCACGATCCTACTCATCAGTAGCTTAATGTTTTCCTTTCCTCTATAGGCCAAGGCCATTTAATGTGTAGAAATGGCAAAGGCCATTTAATGTGTAGAAATGGCCAAGGCCATTTAATGTGTAGAAATGGCCAAGGCCATTTAATGTGTAAAAATGGCCAAGGCCATTTAATGTGTAGAAATGGCTTTCACGGTGTAGTTTTGGGCTGTTTCGATCAAACTGATACACCGCACCTTTGCAGGCTAGGTTTTTTGGAGTTTTACAATTCTATTTTTTTTTCTTTTGGAAGTTACTTTTCATATTATAATACATACTGATGTATTATCTTATTATTAAATAATAAAAATCATTTTTATATATTACGCCAAAATAATAGATGTATACTGGTCCTTATATAGTTCATGTTATTCTGCTTTCTATCATGGCGAGGGGTAGAAAAATGTTTGATTTTAAAAATATCAAGGGTAAAGAGTAATTAAAAAAAAAACAATTGTCTGTGATGATATTTATATTATATTTAAGATAATTAATTTAAAAAATAATTATTTTACACAATTTCATTAAAATCAACTCATTTAACCATTTAACCAGTCACACATAAGTGATACACCGCGCCTGGTCTCATTGCAAAATGAGCGCGCCCACCTGAAGGTAAAGAAATTGAAAACTAACTTTCTCAAAGCTCACTCACATTTGTAGCTTCCTGCAGTGTTGACACACTTCATGTTTTCACTACACAAGTAGGCTGCCTGTTGACACTCATCAATATCCATATCGCAGTTGATGGATTGGAATCCAGGTTTGCAAATACAGTCGCCAGTGACAGTATTGCAGTCGTGAGTATTGTTTTTATGACATGCACATGTTCTGTTACAACCTGCACCCCATGTCCACGACAGGCACTCTATTTAAAAAATTTATAAAAAATTGTTGTTGTTTTTTTTTAAAAGACGTTATTTACATACTCTTCCTGCTTTTTAGGTGTCAATACACAGTAGAAAAATTTGCAATTTTTTGAAGTTATCATAACATAATAAATGAAAAACAAAAAAGCTAGAATTTAATTATAGCAAGGCAAAAAAAAAATAATAAAGTGTGAAATCATTTTTTGTTAGGAAATTAAATAAGAATGTCATAAACGTAAAATTCAACTTAGAATTTCAACATGTTTCTCTCAATTATATCCATATACAAATTTTTTTAAAATTTTTTTTTTTTTAAAACTTTACTTGTCACTCTCCTCCCCCCTTTTCTTCCCCCTACAGTTGGTTAAAATAAACTATAGTCAAAACATAAACAAGCTCACAGTTTTAAGAAAACCTTACCTTCACACATGTCATAGTTCAAAGAGCTGTGATTGAATCCCTCACTACAATGACATTCATATCCACCATTTACATTGACGCAGTTTGCATTGTCACCACAGGGAGAGTTCTCTACACAAACATCAATGACCTGGTCACATAAAGATCCTCTGAAACCAAACTTGCAGGTGCAGGTTCCATTGTTAGAGCAGATTTCTGTGTTGTTTCTTTCACAATCACAGAGTTCACTGCAGTTCTCTCCCCATGTCCAGTTATCACATTCTTGAAAAATGCAAAAGTAAACATAATATATTCATTTAACAAATAAAACTCAAAATACTGTTTTTAAAGTTTGACATACTTGCAATGTCAAAAATAAAACGAAAGGTAAAAATGTTTTGGCAAATTATAATATTCTCAAAGCATCAGTTTGTCTCACGAAGAACATGGTGTAGTTTGTGTTTAATGTTGGCTAAATGTCATGGGAAGTAGAATAAGCTGAATAACAGTCAACACATCATTTCACAATTCGTCAATCCAAGAAAAAGTCAGTTGGATAGTAGAGCCATAAAGTAGAGCCAGATAGTAGAGCCAGATAGTAGAGCCAGATAGTAGAGCCAGATAGTAGAGCCATATAGTAGAGCCATATAGTAGAGCCAGATAGTAGTGCCAGATAGTAGAGCCAGAAAATATAGTCAGGTAGAAGATATAAATAGTAGTGCCATATAGTAGAGCCAGATTATAGTGTCAGATAATAGAGCCAGATAATAGAGCAAGAAAGTAGAGCCAGATATTAGAACCATATAGAAGTGCCACATAGCAGTGCCAGATAGCAGAGCCAGATAAAAGGGCCATATAATAGAGCTATTAAGGAGTATAGTAGTACCAGATAGTAGTGTTAGATAGTAGAACCATATGACAGGGCCATATATGAGAGCTTTATAGTAGTACCATACAGGCGTGTAAGATAGTAGAGCCAGATGGAAAGGACAGATAGTAGAGCTATGTAGTAGTGTTATATAGTAGTACCAGATAGTAGTGTTAGATAGTAGAGCCATATGGAGGGGGCAGATAGTAGAAGTAGATAGAAGTGCGAGATAGTAATATCAGATAGTGTAAAAAATTAGTGACATATAGTGGGACAAGGGGGGGCACTTGCTCCCCCCCCCCTGAATAAAATTTTTTAATACAAAAATAGACAAAAAATTTATTAAAGTAAAGAGAAAATAAAGAGAAAGTAACTAGGCTGATGTCTTGTCCGTTCGTTCACCATAAAAATACGCTACAGTAAATTATAACTATATTAAAACATTACTAAAAAATTTTTGCCCCTGAAAAGTTAATAGATTTTTTTTGCACCCACCCCCCCCCCTAGAAAGTTTTCTGCGGGCGCCCATGAGTGGAGCAATATAGTAGAGTTAGATAGTAGAGCCAGATAGAAGAACCAGATAGAAGAGCCAGATAGTAGAGTCATACAATAGAATCAGAGAGCAGAGCAAGATAGTAGAAACAGATTGCAGAGACAGATAGTAGGGTCAGATATTAGTGCTAGATTGTAGAGTAAGATAAAAGAGTCAGATGGTAGAATCATATAGTAGAGCCAGATTGTATATTTAGTTGTAGTGTCAAATAGTAGAGGTAGTAGAGTTATATACTAGAGAAGATGGTAAAGCCCATAGTACATAGTAGATAGTAGAGATAGTTAGAAGAGTCAGATAATAGTAGAGCCAGATAGTATAGCCACAAAGTAGAACTAGATAGTAGAGCCATATATTAGAGACATATAGTAGAGGAAGTAGTAGAGCCAGATAGTTAAGAAAGAAAAGAGTGCCAGATCGTAGTGAAAGATAGAAGAACTATATAGTAGTGTCCTATAGTAATAATAATAATAATAATAAAGTTCATTTCAAAAACACGCTTCATCCCCAAAGGCTGGAAGCGCGGTACAAAGTCAACAAAAAACAAATCTATAATTTACCACATTTAAAACAAACGCAACACTACAAAAACTAATTACTAGCATACAATGGCAAAGTCTTTCTAGCCATTTCAACCGCAAGCAACACAGCCATTATGCATTAACTGGAAAATATGGTAGACAATCATCCCAGAAGGTGTTTGCGAAATAGATGTGTCTTTAGATCGGTTTTAAAGGACTCCAGTGTCTGGTTGTTTCTGAGATCGACAGGAAGGGCGTTCCAAATTGTTGGACCAGCAAATGCGAAAGTGCGCTTTCCGTAAGTCTCAAGGAAAACACGTGGTGTCGAGAGTTTGCCACTATCGGATGAGCAGAGCTCTCTAGTGGGTACATAAGGCGTAAGCAGCTCTTTCAGATAGTAGAGAAGGATAGTAGAGTTATATACTATAGTAGAGTGAGATAGTAGAACCCGATAGTAGGCTTACTCTGTATAGTCAGAGAGCATTCAGATTTTAAAGTTAGTTAGTAGAATCAGATAGTAGAGCCAAATATTAGAGTCGGATATTAGAAATAGGTAGTAGAGCCAGATAGTAGTGCCAGATAGTAGAGTCACATAGTATAGCCAGATAGTAGAGTCAGATTGTAAATACTAATAAAAAAATTCATTTTAAAAACCCATTTCATCCCTAAGTAATGCTCAAAGCACAATAAAATGCAAAACACAACAATACAAAAGCTACATAAAAACCAATGGACAATTAAGCAATATACATAATGGAATAAGATAGTCTGAGAGAGTACGAGATGGTGTGTTATTTTCAGATTTTATCTTCTAAACGATAGCAATGGGGATCAGTTCGGTCTTTTCATCGTTCAATTTGAGCTTGTTTATGACCATAACGTGCTTAACTGACTGCACTTTCTTCTGTGTCATACTAGAAGTACTAGAAACATTTTTAAAAAAAATCAGAATTAGACTAGTCGGTGAGATTCGACTGAAACCGTCGTGGAGAGTCACGTTATAGATTTGAGAATGGGGGACACGGGCCGGCGCATTTACACTAAACTTATCTGTCATGTAGCGGGCCGCAAAATATCGTCTTGCGGGTCACAAATGGCTCGCGGGCCGCGAGTTTGAGACAGCTATATTAGATGTTTATTTATTAATATTTTTATTTATTAACATTCACGATTATCTAATTTTTTATAAAAAGAATGTAAATATGTATACTTTCCCACATCATTTTCGATGTATGCAGAATGTATGCGGGAACAAAATTTCAAAATATCTTAATATTTCATTTTCGGTTTCGGCTTCGGTTTCGGCCAAAATTCATTTTTAACTTTCGGTATTTTTTCGATTTCGGCCGAAAGTCATTTTTAAACTTTCGGCATTTTTTCGGTTTCGGCCGAAAGTCATTTTAAACTTTCGGCCAATTTTCGGCTTCGGCCGAAATAAGAAAATCACTTTCGGTGGGTCTCTAATTGTAATGAGACAATAAATAAAAAAAAAATATATATATAAAAAATTGAACATTCTTACCATTCTGTTGCTTACCTGAGGAGAAAAAGAGAAATTAAATAACTAGTTTTTTTTTGTTTTTTTTTTAAATTCATGAATTTTTTATTATTTTTGGATTTTAAGTTTTCAATCTATCAATATATATTGCATACAATTGTGTCAAGTAAATTTTAAATCTAATGACTAAAGGATTTTAAATTGTTTTTGAATCATCACTTACAGAGGTAGCTTCCGACTGTATTGACACATTGCATATCATAAATACATGAGTTAGTAGCCTGTTGGCACTCATCTATATCCAAATCACAATTTGTGGATTGAAATCCAGGTTTGCAAAGACATTGACCAGTAACAGTATTGCAATAGTCTGAGTTTATTATATGGCAAGCACATGTCTTATTACATTCTGCACCCCATGTCCAATTGAGGCAGGCTTTTTAAAAAGAAATGAGACACATTTAAACATGTTTATAATGTAATGATACATCAGATATGTGTTTTTATGTTATTGAGCTGATAAAATTCAAATCAGCAGTAATTATAATTTATGTACTTCCTTTTCAATTGTATTTCTTGCAAATAATATTTAAGAAATGGTATGAACATTACCCAGTTCTGGAATTAAATAATTATTATAGTTCAGTTTAAATTAATTTTTTACTACATTATGTCTATAAAAGAGTATATATATATATTTTTCTTTTTTTTACCTACACATTATTTGCCACAATATAAAATAAATAATTTAAAAAAAAAAAAAAAAAAAAAAAAAAAAAAAAAAAAAATAAAAAAAAAAAAAAAAAAAAAAAAAAAAAAAAAAGAAAATTTCAAAAACATGTATTTAATTATTTATTTGTTTCTAAGTTTGTTACTTTACTTGTATCTTCTCTTCTCCGTGGTATGGTATATTAAACGGTTGGTTACAATAAGTTTAAAAATAGATAAGCTCGACAACATTATAGTTTTAAGAAAACATTACCTTCACACATGTCATAGTTCAAAGAGCTGTGATTGAATCCCTCACTACAATGACATTCATATCCACCATTTACATTGATGCAGTTTGCATTGTCACCACAGGGAGAGCTCTCTAAACAAACATCAATGACCTGGTCACATAAAGATCCTCTGAAACCAGACTTGCAGGTGCAGGTTCCATTGTTAGAGCAGATTTCTGTGTTGTTTCTTTCACAATCACAGAGTTCACTGCAGTTCTCTCCCCATGTCCAATTACCACATTCTAAAGTAAAAAACATATTTGTTAAATTTTATTATTAAGATATGTTTTAATTTAAATGATTCTTCTTGTACTAAATGAAAAAAACACATTAAATTTGGATGAAATGTCCTTAAATCATAACCAAATAGCTAAGCATGTGCCCTGTAAAATCTACATAAATAGCCGTGACTTTGTCTTCGTACAACATTATTTTTTACTCGTTTATATAATTTTTTTCTCTTTGTAGTGCTTGCCAATTGTTTCTGTGCATTGCACTGATCCATCATCGTTAACATCCACACAGACAGATCCTTGCTCACAAAACTTGTCAGCCATTGACAATCTGTTTATGATGTCACAGAAGTTGATGGCTGAAATAAATCAAATAGTATAAAGTAATAAATACAATTATGCATTTGTTGTGTTTTTAACAAAATCTAAAATTAAAAACAGCATATATGTCTACTTATCTCCAGTTGAATGACAATGTGTTAATAGTTCAACTCACCAGGTACTTTTGCTTCCATGTCCTCTAGTGTCTTATACAACATCAAAGGACCTGTGATATTTACTAAATTATCTAGAGAGGGTGAAATAGTTTTCTCATGGTTCAGAACCATCACTTCAGCAGTTTTCTGTACAATTAAGTCATCAACCTCTTTAGTGAACCAAATTGTGACGTTAAAACACATCAGAGTAGTATGTGGTTCTTCACATCGTCTAAAGAAGATTTTAATTTAAATATTAATAATAGTTTTCTTCCTAAATATATGTTATAAATCTAAAGGCGTATAACATATAATTTTAAAATCCGTGTTTGCCTTTATCTATTTAATTTAAAAATTGCTACATTATTTGTGTTAATTAAGTGAACATTGTATAAAACACATTAAATTATTGATTAATTGAACTCAAATAAGTCAAACAATTTAAAATATATATAATATATATAAGAATGAGCTAAGTTCACATAACGCTTAAAACCCGAATATATTTTGATACATTTGGATTCTCAAAAACAATTATAGTTATTTTCTATTATTTTACGGAATTCGAATAAATTTACATGCGCTAATAATATTAAATTTCCACTATTAAACTATTAGGCTAATTTATAAAAAATTTAAGTATTATTTTTATAAATTAAAAATATATTTAAAGCAACAACTAAGGAATTATTTTAAGCATTTTATCCGAATGTAAAAGTTGTGAAAAAAATTATTAATCGAAATATTATGATCTAAGAATTGCATCTAAATAACATTTATCGGGAAAACCCAACATCTGTTATTCATAGTGCGTATTTTAGTGCGTTGTTAATATTGCGAATAAAAAATAAAATTAATTTGATCTAAATAATTACGCAAATGACGTCATAGCGTGATTGGCTATTTTAGCCACAGCTCTAAGTTTTTGTAATATTTTATAATCATGCGTGACAAAACTGATATTTTTTTCACTTCTTAAAAGTAAAATTAATACATATAATAGATTGCTTTTGAAATTGCTAAAAAAATACGAAGAAAAAGTTGTATTTAATTTTAGAAAATTTTAACATTTAATAAGTTTTCGAATCCCCTAAGTTTTTACTTTTATTCTTTTTAAAACTATAAATTTAATGAAAAATATATAGTAGTGAAAAACGTACCCTTTAAATATACTTTTAATACGCAATTACCGTTTGATGCAATCAGTGCAGTGAAACTACATATCAAAATAGCATTCACAAATGCAAGTATCACTCATCCAAATGAGAACAAAGTATGTGAAATGCAAAAATTGGTTTTTTCGTAGGTTAAGGGCGTTAAAATACCATTGATAATTGTATTAATTTCTTTAAAACTCTCCGAGGGAGGGGGGGAGTAATACGATAGTTTCATTTGCCCAAGGCAGCATACGATACGCTTCGCAATGAATTTGAAAAAAAAATTAACCTTCTAAGGTACATATATTAATTGATGGTTTAGGAAATGGTGTGTGTACAATTTTACGTGGATGGCAATTTCTTTAAATTCAATGCTGTTACAATTATGTAAAATAGATGCTATATTCTAATTTAAAAAAATTAAGAAAATCAATGACGTTAAATAAACATAAGAATGTTTACAAAATTATAATCATGAATATAAACTCATTCATTTTACACACGCGAAAATTTTATTTTCAAAATAGTAATGGGTTAAGACCTTCTTAAGAGGTTGTATGGTGGTGAATAGAGGCTAGATGATAGATGAATAGACAGATAGACAGATAAATAGATACATAGATAATATACAGATATACAGATATATAGATATATAGATAAATAGATATGTATATAGATAGAAAGATAGATAGATAGATAGATAGATAGATAGATAGATAGATAGATAGATAGATAGATAGATAGATAGATAGATAGATAGATAGATAGATAGATAGATAGATAGATAGATAGATAG